CTGAGGACAGAGTAGGAGGCAGATCAATGCAGGCCTAGCAGCAGGGAGTGCTGACTCAGGGTCCCCAGAGCCTAGGGCAGGACTGAGGCCTTGGAGATGGGGGTCGGTGGCGGGGGGCAGATTGTGCAGACAGTTTGGATTGTGGAGGAGCTGGCGGCACAGGGCCCGGCTTGGCGCGGGTGGCTGTGGGGGAGGCTGGAACTGCAGACTATTTTTAGGCTCCTGTTCGATTTGAGAGACAAGGGATGCTCCAGGCTACGAGCCCTCCTTTGTTGGGGAAAGACTAAGGTGGTCCCAGTTCCTCCTCAAACCACCCTTTCCTACCAGCTCAAGGCCTCCAGAGCTTCCTCTTTTGTCCCCAGGGACCAGGGACTGGCCCAGAAAGTAGACTGGAAGCATCTCCAGCACCTTAGGTATGCAAACGCCCTGGACAGGTGATTTCCATACTATTTTCACACTGCCCCACTTCCTGATCCGAAGGAACTGAAAGTCCTTTTTCAGGGGACTCTCAGCGAGCAGTGCATTCACCCGAGACCCCCTTGAGCTGCCCTCCTGGGTGTCAGGGGAGGGTGACACAGCTCTAAAATCAGAAAACACAAAGCGAGGGTGAGGGGGTCACGTGAGCAGTGGTGGCGCCTTGACGTGGGCTGGGAGTAACAAATATGATCCCTCCCTGAAGAACAGAGTTGATGAGTTTCATTCACTTATTCCACGAATAACTTATTGAGCACCTACTATGTGTCAGGCACTATTCTAGATGCTGGAGATTCAGTTGTGAAACAACAAAATGAAATTCCTTGCCTTTACGGAGTGGACGTTCTACAGCAGTGCTGACCAGTAGAGACGTAATATGAGCACATGAATAATTGTAAATTTTTTAGTAAGCCTCCTTAAATAAAAGTTAAAGAAATAGATGCAATTGATTTTATTATATAATTTACTTAGGCTAATGTATCCAAACTATTACAATTTCGATGTGTTGTCCATTTAACAATATGAGATAAATCCTTCCCTTTCACATCATGTTTCTGAAACCCAGAGTGTCTTTCAGACAGCTCAATTCAGATGAGTCACATTTCAAGGGCTCAGTAGCCCTTAGAGAATGCAGTCCTGGAGGAAATGGCTCATCTAAACGCAAGAGAAAGGAATGCCACAATTGATTAGTGATGTCTGTATGGGCTGGGGCGAAGGTGGATGAGTTGCAGGTCCTGAGTTTAGTCTCCTCCACCTCTTCCTCTGTGCTGTAGGACCAATCCCAAGCATATGTTTACCTCTACTCGCACCCCATCACCATCAGTCCATCCATTTGGCCTGCCCTGAAATAGCTGCCAATTTGAGTTCTGAGCCCTGGACCCTGCAGGGGCCCAGCAATTCTGGCACGGGCACCATTCTGCAAAGAGGTTCTAACATGCTAACAAGGCAAGTGCCTCCTGGGTGTGGTCCTGGGCTCTTTACTCTGTGGAGTTGGCTCATGGCCACTGGTGACCCTGAGAATGTGAGTTTTGTTTTGTTTGTTTCCCAAGGTCTCTTCTTCCTGAATCTAACCAGTACCAACATAAAAAGGCTTCCTGAGCCTGATTTAGCCACTCTAGCCCCACTACACAGGCCCCCACCCACAGACCTTGCACCCTCACCGGGGTCACCCACCCTAACTGAGATCATTCCACATTCTTTCCCACATAATGAGAGGCTAAGATAAGGCTACAGAAGGAGCTAGAAATAACCAAGGATGGGAATGGGCTGTTTGGGTTAAGACAGATAGGAGTGGGGTACAACAAGAACTAGATCTCAGGCCTATATTGTTCTTACCATCATTATCATCACCATCTCCTCGATCCCTGCTCAAAATCCTTCAGGGTCTCCCTAGTATCTACCTGCAAGATAAAGATCTGGGGCCTTCATTCCCAGGATTTGACATTGACAGAACCATCTGCTCTCACCTCCAGACACTCTCCCTTCTTTCATCTTATTCATACATTCAACAGATTCTATGGAGCACCACGATGGGCCAGGTGTTGGTGTGGTATGAACAAAACTGACCAGGAGTCCTGGCTTCATGGAGCTCACTGCATTCTGGCCAGGCCCTAGTCATCCCATGGTATTGTTGTAGGAAACAGACTGGTGGAGAAGCAGCCAGGAGCCCTTGGGGAGGAGAACTCAAAACTTTATTTTACACCAGTGGGCCCAGAGGAGAACAAACTCCAAATTCTGAATCCTGATCCACAGTTTCCTCACAACATGTATAGATTATTTGGCATCTTTTTAGATCCATCCTATCATTGGGCTTCTTCCCTCTTGCAAAAAAAAAAAAAAAAAAAAACCATTCCTAATCTATGTGACTGAAGGCCTTGTGCAAGGTCTCTAACATAAGGCATGCTTACAGAAACAGATAAGAAGAAAGGGCTCTTTTCACAGGCATCTGTTAAATCTCTAGCCTTGAAAGCCTGGCACAGGGGTGTTTACATTTCAAGAGGGAGTAGTCAGGCTCCTAGAGAGAGTTATTTACAACCCAAAAAGGTAGAGACCCATGGTTAATTAGTGTTCCTGAAGAAAGGCTGACAGAGGCAGAGAAATTGACCCTTTCCCCAGGCGTTGGTTTCCCATAACGTTTTTCAACCAGGTCTGGTTTTGCCATCACTTTCCCTCTCCTTCTAGATGATTTCTGTGCATTTTCCAAGCCCTTGCTCAAAGCCTTCCCTGAGCAACCCCAGGTGGATTAGGTGCCTCTGATCTCCCACCTCCAGCCTAGGATCACCCCGTGGATGGTCATCATTCAGTCCCACGTTTCCCTCCCCTACCAGTGTCTCAAGAGCAGGGACAGTGCCTTTTCTCCTGGGACCCCAGGGTCTACTTTTAGATGCACCTCTAAAGAATTCTTCTTCCCCACAGCTCTGGGGTGAGCAGGCTAAGGCATGGGGGGGGGGGGCAGGACTCCTATGGAGATTTCCAGGCCATTCTGAAACCTCCACGTGGGAGCATCCTCCTCTTGCATTCCAAAGGAGCAAATTAGGGGTGAAGCTGTAAACAGGTTCCAGCAAAGGCAGGGCATGAATGGAGACAGGACCTGCTGGCCTTTAAGTGGAGAGAGCAATTAAAAGGTTTTAGGTAGCAGAGAGACAAGACAGCCATGGCCTCTCTCAGGGGAGTGTTGATGGCAGGATGTGTGGAGAGAGGGTAGACCTGAGTGGCCAGCCCTGCACGGTCTCCCAGGAGGGGCTGAATACTGGGCATTCACAGCCTCATCCTTTCTCTGCCTCCCAAAGAGGATGCACAAAACAGAGGGGAGGACAGGCCTGGCTCCTGTCCCCAGTCAACGTTGGCACTGTGGGTATCTCCGCAGATCCTCGTACCACCAAGCCCAGCCTAACAGTCCTACCCACCCACTGCCAGCCAGAGGCCCCTGGAGCTGCATGCCCATCAGGGCAAACAGACAGGAGCCTTGTGCCCAGCAGCCCCCTCCCTGATGGCTCATTTACATGGGATTTACATGGGCTCATTTCATGCCTCAATGCGCATGGCTTCCCGCCTAACCCAACCTCTCCCAGTGCCTCTGTGGAGACAAAGGAGTGTGCTCCATCCCTCAAGTCCCTTCCACAGGCCATCCGGACATTGAGAGCATCCCTGAAGGAAAGAAAAGAGACTCTGAGATCCAGAGAGGGCAGGGACCACCCTGGAGGTCTCACAGCAATCGGAGGGACAGGGCTTGACCCACACTTTCTTCACTAGCTACTCTGCTCTCTTGGGGCTGGACCCAGTCCTCCCACCATTTGCTTTGCCTCCAGCTGAGGGCTCACTGAGGGGGAAGATGTGAAGCCCCTCTGCTGCTGTTGCTTGGCTGTGAGCTGGGAAACAAGCCAACCGCCAAGACCAGATGAGCACATGAAGGAAATGAGGCTCAGAGAAGGCAAGGGCCTGCCCACGACCACCAAGGGGAACAGCAGCCAAGGCCTCTTGCCCCAGCACAGGGCTCTTCTGGATTCTTCAAATTCCCAAAGATTCCTGGTCCAGAGCACCTGCTGCCACCTTGGTCACCCTGGGAAGGCTGGATGTGGAAGGAACTGGGAAGAATTCTCAGTCCTGGGTTGACCCAGAAGAGTCCAGAAGAGAACGAAGGGGAGAGGGAATGCTGTGAATGGGGCCATTCCAGTCCTGTGGGGTCTGCCAGAAGCTGGGCTGACTCAGAGTAGGGAACTGTCCCGAGGCTGCCATGCACCCCCAGCCCCCACCAGCTATTACTTCTCAGGAAAAGCTCCCAACAAATTTCCAAAGGCTCCCCACTATACCACGAGCAGGGGCAGGCAACAAAGAGAAGGGAGCAAAACCAAGCAAAGAGAGGGAGGGAAGGTCTCTGAGGGATAGCTGGGCTCCTCTCTGCAGCCCCCCTCCCACTGTCCTCACCCTCCATCCCTGAACTATTGCCCTTGTCCTGGCCTCCATCCATGGAACAGCTCCCAATCCCCTCCTCCACTCTGCCTACTCTCTGGCCCTGTGTCCTCTGCACACAGCCCTTGCCCAGACCCCTACCTTGCCTGGCAGCCCAGCCTGGAGTGAACATGCATTCCCGCCCCAGCTGAGGCCACCAGCCTTCAGTGCACGCATTTCTATGAAGGTATCTCAGGGGGCACTATTTGATCAGCTATTCCTCCCAGAACCACTCCTTGAAGGCAGGGAGGCCTGAGGCTGTTTCTAGCCTGGCCCGGGCCTGGCCTCCCAGGGGAAGCAGTCTAGGTGGAGGCAGGGAAGACAGAAAGAGGTGCAGGAAACATGGGGGCTTCAAGGTTAAGGCTTGGAGGAGCAGCACACTGCAGGAAGTTGCATGTTAAGATCCTCATCCCTGCCTCTCACTAGCTGGGGCTTTCTGAGCCAGCTCCCAAGGTCTATTAAGGAAATGTGAGGACATGTATGGTGCTCACACAGGGAGGAGATACCAGTAGCAAACAGGAGTCCTCACTCGCCCCCACCCCGTCAGGACAGCTTTGCAGGCAGGGAACAGGCACAGATAAATAAATAGCTCGTTTATTAGTAATATGTTACATTATTAAAGTGCATTGAGAAGAGATACAGGGCGGAAGCTAGAAGGCCACCGGCCCCAGGCCCTGCCCCAGACACAGCTGGAGAAGGGCCCAGCTCTTTGCTGAAATCCATGGACTTGGGGTATGGCCGTCCACTTGGAGAGCTTGGCCCAGGCCATCCCCACTGGAATTTTCACAGTTTAGCCTAAGTTATAACATGTCCTGAGCTGAAGGTGGGAGGCTAGGAGCATGGAAGCACAGCCCCTGGGGAAGGGGGCTGAGAGGAAGGGAGGATGCTCCCTGCCCCCCAACCCCCAATGCCAAGGGCAGAGTCCTGGAACCTCCCCCAAGGACCCGGCTCCTCCTTCTAAATGAATGTGGTGAACCTAGGGCTCAGTTTTCTCCTTCATTCTCCCCTGTCTCCCTCACCCCCACCCCCAGGACCCCCCCACACCAGGGGCTTGTGCCCTCAGGCTGGGCTCCTGGGGCAGAGCCAGCTCATGCCACTCTCCTAGAACCCATGCCCGTCCCTGGACTCTTATCCCAACCCCAGGAGCCTCAGACTGGGACCAGCGCCCACCCCACCCTTCCCTGCCCCTCCCTCTCCCCCCCCAGCGAGTAGTTTTGGTATTTTCATACAGATGCAGTCAGAAGTAGCTATACATGAAATAAGCCTAACATAAAAATAGAGCTTTTTCCGTCCTTCCGTCCGGAAAGCAAACATCCTTCAATAAACATGCAAGGCGACTGTTCAGTGGGACCCAGACTGTGATGGAGCTGCAGAGGGCGGGGCCTGGCAGGGCAGCCCTGGGTATGTAGGGACACTAGCCATCCAGACATGGAGGAAGGAGGTGAGGAAGACGGCAATTGGGTACAGAGTCCAGAAGGACTCAGGCCTCAGCCCCAAGGTCCAGAGGTGGGGATCCAGCTCCTTTTCCAAACCCACATCCCAGCCCACAGGCTTCTCAAGCCAGGAGCATCGCTGCATTTAGTCAAGTGTGAGGAGTTTCTGAAAAATATTCTCCAGAAGATAAAGTCTTGGGTCACTGCCACCCCACTTCACAGTTAGTGCCTTCATTCTCTGGCCCCCCTCCACCCCCATCCCACTTGGAGCCCAGCAGCCGCCTGCGGCTGGACATCTCCAGGCCTTTGGTCCCCTATTGGGTTATTCAGTCCCCCTGGAAGAAACAGCAGGCAAGGAGCTTCCGGGCCAGCCGGCTCTGAGTGTGAGACCTTTCCAGTGTCCCTGGGCTGCAGAAGCCTGGGACATTTATAGCCCCTGGAGGCACTAGTGGACCAGGAGGCTAAGAACAAGCGTGGGCAGGATCCCCAGCCAAATGGAGGCAGCCAGGGCACGGGCACGGCCCATCAGTTGCTCAGCCAGGGCACGGTCCTCGGGCAGCAGCTCCCAGTGCTGAGCCTCACGGAGGTAGGAGCCCTCCTGGGCCTCGCAGCGGTAATGGCCATACTGGCGGGCCGTGAGGTTCTCAATGAACAAGATGCAGTTGGGACTCTGGTGGCCAGGCTCACAACTCTGTTCCACATTCTCCTCATGGCGCCATGAGTAGGTGGCATGGCGGGACTCCATGGGGCAGCTCAGGTAGTAGCGAGAGTTCCGGGCCAGAGAAACCTTCTGCAGCGGGGCCTCATCTGAGGAGACAGTGGAGAAGCTGTAAGGAGGGGTTGAGGGATCCTAAGGGAGGCTGTGTCCTCCCATGCAGACTGAGCTTCTAGGGCAAGGCTTCTAAGTGAACATGGGACCCAGTTCCTAGATTTCTCTTCTGTTCTCCCACAATCCTCATTCCATCCCTCTCAAAAGCAGCATAGGGCTCCCTTGGCCAGACTATCCTGCCCCATCTGCCTGGAGCCTGCAAGTCAACTCATGTCTCCCTCAGACCAAAGCTACCAGGGGCACACATGTACTTCACTCATGGAACTGTGGCCTGTGGGGCTTGATCAGGTACCTGGTTTTGGGTTGGGACACTCTTTGTGTGGCTCCATTGGATTCATGGATTGCAGCACTGACCTGGAGTTGGAAGAAGAGAGGCTCAGATGGGAGGCAGCCAGGCCCCTGGCCTGACCTCATTCCTTACATAGTATTGGCAAAGAGAAGAGTCTGGCCAAAATGGCCCTGCAACAATACCTCCTGTAGCCCTTCAACACCACCCCCACACCCATGTCCACCTTCTCCCAGGGCCAAGAAACCCCAAGCAATATACCGTTGGGAGCTGTAGATGGACACGCAGTGATCCTGGTCCCAGCCGCAGTAGGGGTCTCGGGACATGAGACAGCCATGGCAGCCCCCACCGTAGACCTCACACAGGTCCAGGGGCACTTGGCTCACCTCCCACTGGGAACTCACATATAGCTTCCGCTGGAAAGAAAACAAGACTGGGTCAGGACAGGACCACTATGTTGAATCCTAAGCTCCCAGACAAGGGGTCCTGTGGCTGGACAGGCCCTAAGAATCAAAGGATCTTAAAATGACATGCAAAACACATGCACACTGGCTGTTGGGATAGCCCCACAGAACCAGAGCAGAGGTGGGGAGGCTCACCCGGTCAGCATCCAGCGACATGGCCTGGATAGCAGCCGCCCGGCGGAAGGGCTGGATCTCCATGATGTTGAAGACGAGGTTGTGCTCCCGCTCCCCTGACTCCACCACCTTGTGGATGGTGCCCCTGTCTGTGGACAGCAGGTAGAGGGTCAGCAGGCAAGGGCCCTACATCAGAGCTGGGCAGCCTCCCTCGAGACTGGGTACTGGGAAAGATGGGATGGGGAGGGGTAGGAAGTTGTGACTCAGGCAAGGGTCACAGGACTGGGGTGGAGTGGGGTGAGGAGAGTGTGACTGGGAAGGAACGCAAAGCCCAAGGGCAGCCGGGAAGTTTCCAAGGCTAGTCCTGAGCAGCCATTCCAGGAGGCCTAGCGCTCTTCCAAGAGGAGCCCCAATGTGCCCGAGGCTGCAGCGTAAAGGGCAAACCAGGAGTCCCATGCTCATGCGTTATCTCTGTCACCCCTCCACAACCCTTCCAGATGGACATTCTCTTCCCACTTCACAGATAAGGGAAAGAAACTCAGAAAAATTACCAACTATTTCAGGGTCACATGGCTGGTGATCAGAAGAGAACAAGCTGGAACCTTGACCTGTCAGAACCCCACCCCTCAGCTTCTTCTAAGACTCCCCTGACTCCTAGACTCTTAGAAGATATATTTTCTTTAAATATTTTTTTTTATTTTGTAACAATGCTAGATTTCCAGAAAAGTTGCAAAGATAGTACAGAGAGTTCCTGTCTAGCCTTCCCCCAGTTTCCCCTAATGTGACTGCCTTACATAACAATGGCACATTTGTCACAACTAAGCAATTGACATTGGTGCATTACTATTCTCTAAACTGCAGACTTCATTTGGATTTCACGGGTTTTTCCACTAATGTCCTTCTTTTGTTCCAGGATCCAATCCAGTACTCCACAATGCATTTAGTTTTAGGGGATATTTTAATTTTTTCAAAATCTTAGATCTGAAAAGAACCTTAGATTCCTTATAAGGACTCCCCAAGGTCACATAAGCAGGCTGCTCGCTACACCAATACTCTCTCCACTCTCCATTGGCACCTGTTGGGGACTAATGGGCATCCGACCCCTGGTCTTCCTAATCCCACCTCACCTGCTGTCCCAGTTTCTAGAATAGCCTCCTTCCCTTTCTCCTTCCCTCCCCATTTCCCAGGGCATCACCTGCCCCAAAAAAAGCAGTCAGATGATTGCCTGCCTGGGACAGTTTCTCTCTAGGCCTCTGTGATTCTCATCATCTGGCCAGAAGCTCCTTGGACCTAATAAACCCCCAGCCCAGTCACTACCTCTTTCTCTCTTTCCCTTTCTCTCTCTCTCTCTCTCTCTCTCTCTCTCTCTCTCTCATGCGCACACACACACATCACACACAAAGCCCTCCTTCTGCCTACTTCTAAACAGGTCTAGGAACACCTCCTTGGTAAACTTCTCAGGAACAGAGTCAATAATTTCTCCCAGTAACCTCCCTCCATTCAAAAAGTTCTAGCCCCAATATTTCCAAATGCTGCAGGCTCCAAAATAGTACCTCTCACATGGCCCTCAAGGAGAACCAGACACCTCCCCTAATCCCTGAGTGTGCTGGCAGCCCAGGTGTGCAGGAAGTCAACTTAAGTCTGGCCTTTCCTGTCCTAATTCCTGCTCCCAATCCTGTATTGTGACTTCTTCAGCCCTACTCCCAGTGCCCTGCCATCCCCTGGCTAACCACAACAGCTAGGCCATGTACTGTGAAGGCAAAGCAAGGACAGAGAGCCTGTGCAGCCAGAATAAATGGAAGGATAAAGGGATGGAATCTCAGGACCCAGAGCTCAGGTCCTGCCCCATGGGAAATTCTTCTCCTTGAGGCTTCCAGAAGCCAAACAATGGCCCTGGACTTATGCTTCCAATCAGGTCACCACAGCCCAGATAGCCCCAAGGTGAAACAGCAGCAGAAAGTCACATGGGGGATTGTGAATCATTGAGGGTGGGTGTCTGGGGCCTAAATGGGTGGCCCCAGAGGTGCTAGGGTCCTTTCTAGTCTGAGAAAAGCCTGCAACCCTGGACCTCTCTAGCCTCCAAGCCCACTCCCAAGATCCATCCTGGCCCACAGTCCGAGACCAGGAAGCTGCCACAAACCCAGTTCAGGGCTGATTCCTTCATGCCCAGCAGCTTTCCAGAATGCAGAACCATCTCCCAGGGCATTCCACCCAACTTCTCCCAGGAAGGCCTCCAGGGAAGAGGAGAGGCTACTCCTGTCCTCTGTGAGGCTTTGTCATGGCTCTCCCATCTGGAACTCCTTCCTCATGTTCTCGAATGTATTGTCTCATCCACACAATCCCCAAGTCAGGGAAAGGGTCTGTGGTCCTCATCCTACCTGGCAGGGGCTCTCAGGAAGCTCAGTTCCCAGGCCCCTCCTCCTGACTTTCCACATCTCTTTTCACCATCTTATTCCCTGAGACAAACATCTGAACCAAAGCTATACTGGGCTTTGTTCAGACTTGTCACATTTCTACCCAAATTCTGTGTGCTCTTCTCTCATCCTAGATGTCTCCTACTTTTCCCTCTGTCTTGCCTCTTCTAGGAAGCCTTCCACACTTTCCTGATCTTCCCCAACCTCATGGACTAATCTCTAAAAGCTACAGCCAATCAATTCTTCCTTCCACATATGAAGATCCATCCAAATGTTACCTATGTTCTTCTTTATACCATTCACATCCATCTTTACAAAGCAAACCAGGGGGTCCCAGGGTAGCCCCTCACCTGTGGTTAAGTAAAGCACATGGAAGGTCTCCCCATGGCTGGCTTGCATGCGGTGGACAGCCACTTTCTGGTAGTGGTACTTAGAGTGGAATAGTGGTGTCTTCAGTGGCCCCATGGGCTCCACCCTCTGCGCCACTTCAGGGTGACTGTCAGCCACCTGGAAGGTCTCTGTGGGTATCGGCTGCTGGTCTGGGAGGCACTAAGGAAATCAGGCCTGGGTCAGTCAGATGGCTGGGAGGGGACTTAGGAGAGGGCTGGGACCTGGGTCACAGCTGGTATTACTGCTCACCTTGCCAGGCCGAGGATTGGGAAGGCCCGTGTGGTAGCCCTTAAGTGAGGAAGTGCGGAAGACCTTGTCAATGTCACCGAGGGAATACACACAAACAGCAGAGTAGTTCCTGCAGGGATACAGAGACCACCTCAATAGGGGGCCCAGGACCCACCCAACCCCACTCATCCAGACCAGCCACATTCGAAGGCGGGCCATATCCACAGTTCCCTGGTCTGTGAGCCAGGACTATCTTTGGAGCCAAACTCACAGCATTACCAAACACCAATGGAGAAAGGCAGGAGGGAGAGAAGTTCAACATAATTTTTCTCCACTGACATGTAAAACCACAACCTTTGCTCTGCTACAGCATCACTGAATTCAGAGGCCACCTCTACCCAATGTCAAGGCAGGAGGAATCCCAACATGAGCTGGGTGACTCTCTTCTCTAGACTCCCTGGGCACAGGATGCAGAATGTTGATGTTCCAGGAAGCAAGACCCCCATCTCTCCCCAGTTGGTGGCTCCACCACACAGGAACCACAGATCAGGGTCTTAGCTCCCCAGCACTTTTGTCTGCCTTGTTTTCCATCAATGAGAGCGATTAAGAAGTGTGAATTATCAGGCGTAGGCGGTGCATGAGCAGGTGTGATAGCACCCAGCACCCGGCACCCCAGGAGAGACCTCAGCAGCCTTTCCCAGGGCTCTGAGCATACACATGGTAAGACACACAGGCATGAGTGTGCATATGATGCATGACCACACACCATGTGTACAGGATCACGAACAACAGTACACACGTTTACACTGCCTACTCCTACCCCACAGCCAGCAATAGTCCTGTCATTGAGCCTGTGATCCCTGCTCAGGCCACACCAGCAGGGCCCAACACTAAGATCCCTATTGGACATATCTAATGCCAGCCTCAGTCCCAGGATGAAGGTCTCTTACCAGGGATTGGAGAAAACTCCATAGACTCTGGTGTCCCTCCACTGGCCACTGGGGTCAGGGAGAAGGAAGACATCCTGCAATCGGTTGAAGTTCTTGTTGGTGGCAGCATCACTGCACACAAGCATGGCTTTCAGGAAGGTATTCCACTTGGAGACTGACAGTGAACTTTCACCACCTTGGTCTCCCTAGAAGGACAGAGGAAAGAGGTGATTTCTCAGAATTTGCCTGGCTGCCCCACACACCCGAGGCATTTGCTATGAGGAATGTCAGCCTTAGGGCTATGGAGGAGAAGGACAAGCTGTAAAGGGGTCAGAATTTTCCAGGGAGAGCATAGGCAGGTTTTCAGGTCAGGCTCCAGTCATAGGCCTGGTTGACCAAGGGCACAGGGCACACAGTGAGGTCCTGATGCTGAGAGTGCTCCGTCCCCACACAACACACAGGCTCAGACACACATCTGCCTCCCCCCCCACACACAGGGCACAGCTTATTCATATAAGCAAAACACACTCATCAACACACTGTCACTCACATACTCGGGCACATCACATATGCACATGAGCTCAACCATCTTTACCCACTCAGACGCATGATGATCTGTGCACCCACATTAGCCCCCACTGCCCCACACACAGACTCACGCAAGCGTGCACACCCTCACTCACTCCTATTTGTGTGTAGACACATACTCACCTATCATCCCCCCTCACACACCCACTCACCCTGCACAGCTGGGCTACACGGGATACGTTAAGAGGTGCCTCGGGATTCTTGTCAGGATTGTCTTCCCGGAAGAAGTAGTAGATCTTGTCATCGTAGGCTTGGTCTTGGTGCACAATGGTAGCCTTGATGAACTGCGGGTCTGCCAGGGACACAGGTGAACAGGTGTGAAGCTGGGGAGCCTGCATGAGAGACCCACACTAACCCTGCCACGCTTTCCCAGGGTCTACACAAGCCCAGGGCAAATTATACCTGGAATAAACTCAGAACACAAGGTCCAACACCCCAAGAGGCCCTAAACTCTGCAGCACCACTCCACACCTGTTTTGCCCTCCTCCTACAATAAGATGTCATTGGCCCAGGAGCAATGACTTCATGCCTGGGGACTGGGGGAAGGTCCCTGGGGACTCCCATGTCACTTCTGCCTAATTGGCAGAGCCTTAATAAGGAGAGGGGTGGCCCCCCTAGGAGCTCAGTAAAGGGATGAACTTTGGTCTGGGCTTCCTCTGTGTTTGCTCCCAGGGTATGTAGGCCCACCCTGCCTCTGCTTTCACAGCCCAAACTCCTTGGCATGAGCTGCGCAGGTCTCCGCCAAGACCCTGCTTTTCTGAATGGCCCATGGGGAGATCTGGGCATCCACATCCCCTGGTCCAGCATGGCCCAGCTGCAGTCCCACTCACTTTGCATGACGGTATCACTGGTATATAGTTCACTCTCGCCCCGGATGCGACGAAAGCGAGGGATCTTCCCGTTGTATTCCTGCTTCCGAATTGTGGAGTACACCTCATCCCCTAGGGACAATGGTGGGGGGTGTTGGTAAGGGCAGCTCCTTACGTCCTTCCCCTAGGGCCCAGGCCAATGGACAAGGAGCTGACCATCCCTCCCCCAGCCTGGTATAGCAGCATCCTCCAAGGGCCCCCGCAGCAGTGCTGCCTCACCTTCAAACAGTACAAGGGAGTTCTCATCCGGGCTGAAGGGGGCATAGCCTCTCATCTCACCAAGTGGCACCACAGTGCCATTCACCTGGGGTACACCAAGGGGGTTAGATGGCCGCATGATCTCATAGTCACTACCCCCCATGACCTTGACCAGAAGGCTCTCCCTCACGGGGACTCCGCTCTTGGGTAAGCCCAACCTCAAAGTTCCCCATCTCCTTTCTGCCATAAGGGGCTGAAGCCCACCCAGAGAGAGGGAGCTCAGGCATGGTGGACAGAGGTTCTCACCAGGTTCCAGCAGCTGGGGCGGCGGGCATTGGTGCCGCAGACCAGCAACCCTTCACTCCGCCTCTCCAGGAGCGTGATATAGTTGTCACAGTCCTATTCCAGGAAGAAAGATGGGAAAAGAAGTTGGGTTGGTGGAAGGCCCTGGCAGTAGGACCCTCAGTCTTGGAAAGAAGACATTAGAAGTGGCTCAGTGAAGGTGGCAGCTTCCCAGGACAGTCCAGCTGACTCCACTCCCACTGCCTCCACCAAGAACAGAGGCCTCCAAAGAGGGATCATGTCTCCTGCTCAGACTAGGGCCCCTAGGATAGTCCCACACCTCCCCCTTCAGCCTGGGGCACCCCGAGCAGAATCATGCTTCCTTCCTCAGAACCTCTTCTTCTTTTTTTCTTCTTTCATGTTTGTGCATGGGTCGGGGGCTACTAGGGGATAAACCCAGAGGCACTTTACCACTGAGCTATAGCTCCCTAGGCATTTTTATTTTGAGTATATATTTGTGATTTGTTTGTTGTGTTTTTGTTTTTTTATACCAGAGACTGAGCTCAGAGTCACTTAACCACTGAACTACATCCCCAGCCCCAAATTTTTATTTTGAGACAGGGTCTTGCTAAATTGCTTAGAGCCTTGCTAAACTGTTGAAGCTGATTCCTGAATCACTGGGATTATGGGCATATACTACCACTCCTGGCCTGTCTCAGATTCTCAAGGTTTCCTCCCTCATCTCCAAGGGGGCTGGCCACCCAGCGCCACACACACACACACACACACACACACACTCACCTGCCTGTCCAGGCAGGAGCCTTTTGTGGAGCCGATGTTCACCTGGGGAAGGGAAAAAGCATTAGCCCATTCTGCCAGTGGTAACATGCCCTGAAATACTGTCCTGCAGCCTCAGGACAAGCCCTAGACGAAGTGACCACGATTCTCATCTTCTAGATAAGACGCACAACTCAGGCTTGGAGAGGGTAAGTAGATTTCCCAAGATTACACAGCTGTTTAGTCTGATACTAGGAGCCCAAAGCCAAGACCTCAGGAGATGGGTCATGGGTTCTGGAGCCTAGTTTCCTGTCCCAGCCTCCCAGATCAGTGCTACCCACATGACAAGTTATGTTAGTTCCCTACACCAAACTGGACCAACTTTAGGGAGCCTCTCCCAGAAATCATTTGTGGATATGGAAGTGAAAGATCCAAGCTTTCATTCCATGAGGCTCCTCACCAGGGTCAGAGGGAGAGAAGAGGTAGTATGGGAGGGGAAAGGAGCAGAGCAGGGTCCAGGCTCACCATTTGTACAGAGGCGTTCTTGCCCTCAGGGAAGTCAAAGAGGTAGACCTTGCCTCGACCACCGACCCACACGGAGGAGCTGCCTGGCTCATGAAAAAGCACGGTGTGGGGCTCAGTCTGGCCAAACTCCACTCGGTCCTGCCCTGCACGGCCTGAGAAGGAGGCAATGGATAGAAGCATTAAGGCTGGGCTTTAGCAAAAGGACCCCGACCTGCCCCTGGCACACCAGCACTTTATGGCAACTGATATCTGGTGCTCAAGGCACTTGAGGCCTCAGAGACAAGGTCTGGGGTGGGGTAGCACAGGAACTCAGAGAGCCATGAACAGGAGAAATAATGAGTCCCTTAGTAGGGTCCAGCAACTGGCTGTCCTCTCCCAGAGCCATAGCCACTCCCCTAGGAGGACGGCTTCTCTCTCCACTTTATATGTGACCTCAGAGTGGGGGAGGGCTTGGGGAATGTCTGGGGAGAACAGACCCCATCCCCCAAATACATGCGCACTCCTGAGGGGCTGGGCTGGGGCAGGAGGACGAGTGCTTATCAGCTCTGCTGCCACAAGACAGAACAAACAGCAGGGACTCTAAGCATACCCCTTGGAGTTCAGATTTTCCCAGAATCCCTTTGTTCAGAACCCTAAGCCCTCCTTGAGGAAGTTCTGTCCAACCCCGTCCAGCCGCCCCTTAGTGGACACTAGATTAGAACTGAAGGGAATCATAACATCCACTCCCTTCCATTTTGAGGCTGGGTAAACAGAGGTCAAGGGACGGGCAGCCCCCTTGGGGCTGATGAGTAGCAGCCTCTGAACCAGGGCCTGTGCTTCTGTCCCCTGCACCATTCTGTAGCACCACCCACTGGAGCCTGGCTTCACCTACCGAGATGCCAGATCTCCTGGGGATAAGGATCAGTTCTCCCTCTCCAGCAACTCTGGGACAGGAGGACCTTCACAGAGAATAGGCTGGGCTTTCAACAGAAGAGCTGACCAGGACAATTTTGCCCAAAAAAAGAAGCTGTAGCCGCCGCCTCCAGGGAGAGGCTGTCTCATCTCCGGTGACATTGCTGAGGTTGTCCTGTTTGCAGGACTAAATTACAGGGATGGGATAGCCTGTGGCTGAGCCCTCAACAATCATATACTGCCAGCATCTTCCCACCTCTGCTCAGCCTCGGGCCTCACCCAGGAACTTGGTCTGACCACTGTTTTTTCAGCTGCAACCAACTCTGGGTCAGCCAGTTTGGCAGTGACACCCAAGTAGGACAAGCTGCAGCCCAGACAGAGAAAAACTGTCATTTCCTCAAATCTGCCCCCAATCCCTCTTGCTGCCATTTGGGCCATTCCTACTGATCCTCCATTCAACAGGGGCAAGAAGTAGCTGGACCTCACACTGAACGACCTATACCTTCATTTTCTTTCCTTAGAAATACGTATCACTGTGTGGCCAAGTCATCCGTAGAAGTGGGTGTTTTCTTATTTGGTACCTTTGCTGTGGCTTGGCTCACTGTACAGGGGAGGAAACTGAGGTACAAGCCATGGGGTATAAGCCTCGCCAAGATCACGCTAGCAAGCTAGACAGATTGGTTCACCCAGACAGTAACAGTTCTCAGGAGCATTCAAGGGAATGTCAGCATGGTTGGCCATAGAGATGTGCCAAATTCATTGCCCTCTGGTTGGCCTGGCCCTCCTAGGGCACTCCACCAATAGCTTGACCCAGAAGCTCAGAGGAATCAGCTACCCCCGTCAGCCCCAGATGCGTAGGGCAGGGGTTGAGAGCCCAGCTCTGTGCTGCTGGCTTGGAGTGAGCATAGGATGTTGGCAGATCTCAGCTCTGCCCGGCTCTGCTCGGCTCTGCCCTACTCTGACTTAATTCTAGCTGGGGTTAAATTGGAATTCTGGGGTCGGCGGCCCACAGGCACGTGGCCTTCCTGAGTCAGCTCCACAGCTCCCCTTTCACCTGCAGCCTGAGCTAGCTGCCAGAGTCCCCATGGGCATACCAGCCCGGGATTCAGATAGTCTGCAGCCCCACCTCCCCTCCCGCTACCTCCACAGCCAGCCTGGCAGCCAGGAAAACATACATACTGCATCTGAAGATGTTGGGTTGGGGTCTGAGAAATAGCACTGTGGGACAAGGGAAAGAAGTCTTAGTCCTCGGGCTGCACTGGCCAACTCCACCAGTCCCTTAATCCCACACCAGCCCCAGGGCCATAGCCCCAGATCTTGGAGGGACAGGCAAGGCCAATGTACAACCATAGCTCTACTCATATGGGAAGAGACACCAGAGAGGAACCTGGTGAGAGCCCTTGTCTGAGGGTTTCAAGGTTATCAAAGGGAGGAGAGCAGTCCCGAAAAAGGAGTCACATCTGATACTGAGACGCAGCCTGCTTTGGGGAGTCAAGCCTGATAAGTGAGGCACGGCCTGGAGGGCAGGACTGAAGGGGAGAATTGGCCCTGCTCTGGGAATCCAGGCTGGGGGTGAGACAGCTGTACAACAGGCAGCTTCTACAGCTTCTGAGGCTGTTTGTCCCTCTAAGCCAAACAGCCTCAGAAGAGAGTCCAGGGCTGCTCATGAAGTGTATGCTGACGACATCAAGGGAGGGAGAGGGCTGCCGGCTGCTGGGTGAGGGTGATGGTGGTAGGACCAGGACTGTCCTGTGTGAATCTGCAAGCCTATTCCCCTCAAACACTGGCTGTAATGGCTACAGTAAGGGAAGACAAGGTCTGTTCATCCCATTTTGCAGAAGAACAAACTGGAGCCCAGGATCATTGCCTCCTGTGACCCCCAGGTTCCTGCCTCTCCTGGCTCTGTGCCTGGTGATGTGTATGGAATGGGGTGGGGGGATGGCACCAGCTCGGCCCCAGGACAAGACCTTGGCCCAATCTCCACCACAGCTCCAGCCCAGGCTCCTGCACTGCCCGAGGCCCTCAAAGGGCCTGATTGTGTTGGGGAAGTGTCAGAGCGGCAGCTCAATGAATACATGAAAGGAAGCTTTGTTCAGGTCGGCAGGAGAGGGGGCTGGGGGCTCAGGGGCAGGAGGGCTGCCTGGAAGTGAAGGCAGCACCAAGCCATCATGGCCAGGATCTGTGGCCCGGCTGGATCAACACAAGAGAGCTTGGCCAGGGGAGGGGACTGACTTCAGGTTTCTGCCCAGGCAGGGTCTGAGCAAGGCTGGGGACTGCCTTAAATAGGCGCAGGCCAAGGGAGGAAGTATCACATCATTAAAGAATTTATTTTTTGCTGGCTTATGAACCCAAAGGATGGGGAGGCAAATAAAAGCTAGATGGGCCAGAAAGCCGGGTGAGGGGAGGGACTCAGGCAGGACAAACAGCCTGAGCAAAGGTGGAGAAGCTGACAGTATGGTAGGTACAGAGACAGAGGACACGTGCTACAGCCTAGCAGAGTTCTAATGAGAGAAGAATCAGGAAGGTGGGCCCTGTGTGATGGGGGAGGGGAGAAGCAGACAGCCCAAGGACACACTGACCCACTGTCCATCAGTCTCCCCTGCTGCCTTCTCCTGAGGAGCAGGGCCAGGAGTGGGAATGCCTCCCCTTCCTCCGGCATCCCCCCACCTCCTGGCTCCCCCTGCTTCCCATCCTGTGTCTAAAAGGAGCACCGTCTGGCACCGTGTCTCCCCCCTCACTCCCCGGCCTGACGCATTAGTGGCTGACTAAGTGGTAGCTAAAAGCTCCCAGAATAACCAGGGGTTCAGGCAGAGGAGGGGGCTAGGGGCACATGGGGAGGACATGGCCCAAAGGCAGGCTGGGCACAAGAAAACCCACCCCCACTCCATGTGATTCTGAGCCAAACCTTGCTCTGCTAGACTAATAAAGAGGACACTCAGGATGCCCTAAACCTAGCCAGGCCCCATGTCCCCTGAGTCCACACCACCTCACAAGGGCAGGGCCTACAAGGCCTAGCTCCAGCTCTGGACAGATATAATAAGGGTCAAGTGGGAGGTGGTCTCACATAGATACAGCCCCCAGGTGGAGGGCTCTGATCCCGCTGAAAAGAATCGGGCCGGGCAAGGCACCATGGTGCACACCTATAACCTCAGCAGCTCAGGAGGATCATAGGTTCGAGGCCAGCCTCGGCAACTTAGATCATATCTCAAAAACTAAAAAGGGCTGGGGATGTAGCTCTAGGGGTAGAGTATCCCTGGGTTCAATGCCCAGTAACACTCTCTCTCTCACACACACACACACACACACAAGAATCACCCCTGATTCCTCTTTCTACACCCCACTGTCTCAGTAATGGACTGACTAGCAAATTGGCTGCAGACCCTGCAGGGTGGATTATCCCAAAACAGGTCTGCCTGGAGGGACACCATTCTTTGTATTCACCCTGGTCCCCACTGTCCTCCTTGCTTGTAAAATAGGAAGGCATCCTAAGAGGAGGGCAAAGAGGGGGTTGCTGTCCACAAAAGAGGCATCAAGGGCTGGTCTAGTCTGGCAGGGAGAGTCTTCCAACATGACCCACCGACCCAGTGAACCTTGAACGCTCACCTCAAGAAGCCCTTTGAAAGTGGGCAGAGAGAATGGCAGGAATGTGGGCATCCCAGCAGGAAACACTTGAGTCAGACAGCCAAGGAGCAGGAGCCAGGCCACTTCAGGTCGGGAACCCAGCCACCCACCCACAGTTTTTCCATCTTGCATTGCTGGGCCCCCTCACACCCTGGCATGGCCAGAGAGAAGAGTTATGGGCCACATGGATCCCAGGAATTAGTCTGCAGCTTCTCCACCCTCAGGAAAACCACACCCTTCAGGTCAAGGTGGAAAGGAGGGAATCCAAACAGTCACTGAGCTGAGGGGGCTCCAGAAGCCAGAGAGGCTCTGCCACTGGCCCAACAACACACAGCAAGGGAGACTGAGGATTCTGGAATCATCACCTCACTGTATCTCTCCAGTCACACGTCCTAGACTTCTTGAGAGCCTCTGATTTTCAAAAAAAGCTGTCTTACTCAGTCTCTCTCTCTCTCTCTCTCTCTCTCTCTCTACTTCCCTGCGTCATCCTTCTCCCTACCCTTCTCTTCCTTGTTCACTAGGCACCAAGTCACTAACCTGACAACTAAAGGGAATCACCCGCCCACCCACCTTCCAGGTGGGGCCCTGATCTCCCAGGGGGTCTTTAGCAATCAAAGTCTTAAACCCAAAGGCATGACTAATGGTGGAACTGCAGGTGCTGTGTCAGGGGGTGAAGAAAAACCCTTCTGCTGGCAGCGGGTGCATAGGAACAAATATTCCATGATGCTATCTCTTCCAATATGGCCAGGAAAGAGGGTGTGAGAAGCTTTGTTTTCCAGGGTGGCACTGGCCTGGTGCTAAGCAAAGGTCATGGTCGTTATTAGGGTCCTGGCAACACTGAGGCAGAGCCAGGTTCCAACAGATGCCTGGTAAGGACAGAACATTTGTGCTGGTGGCAAGGCCTCGAGGTGGTACTCAGTTCCCAGAGGAAGGAGGGATCCACCCGTCTTTATCAGCAGGGGAACAGCGAGCTATGTGCTGGGCTGCAGTGGGAGCATCCACTGTCCACCAAGGTCAGTGGTGGGTGGGAGGGGAGTGCACTTGACCTGTGGCTCAGCCTTGGCTCCAAGAAGACTCATATTCACTTCGTCATCCGGGTGGCTGTGACTATGAGCAGGGGTTGGCCTTCCTCAGTTGGGTCCCTTTTGTGGATGGGGGTTGGGGGAGTTGACACTTGTTAAGATCTAAGTTTTATGACCCACGATGATTCTTGGAACAAATCACGAAACAATCAGGGTGAAGTTCATGGGTCATTTTGGGAAACCCTGCCTGTGAAAGCTAGAGAAGTCAGAGTGCACTTTGTGGAAGTGCAGACAGTAGCTAATGACTTCATCTGCTTCAATAACTAGCCCACCAAATCCCCCAACCACCCAGCAAAGAAGACAGGACAATGGTTTGCATCCCCATTTCATAGAAAGGAAAACCAAGATCCCTCCAAGTCTCTAAGGGCTGGTGCTCTCTGCATTGCATCCCTGTGCTCAGAGGACCAGGCTTGGCTGCTGGGAGTCTAAGTGGGGCAAAATCTTGGGAAGAATGGGCCATGTGAAAAGGAAGCTTTGGGGGAGACTAACTGAACAGGGCTCAGAAAGGGAATGAAGGCTGTCACTGAGCTCCGCTGGAGTAGGAGGCTCTGAGCTCAAGCCCAGGGAAAGCAGGAAGCCCAGGACAAACACCATGTCCTGTCTAACTTCCACCTGTTCTTTAGCCCAGCAGGTTCCAAAAGCCCCAGTGAAGCCAAGGTCAGCTGGTGGCTCCTTCAAAGCAGAGGAACAGGCAGAGGTTTAGGGCCTGCCCTTGGGCCCAGAGCCAGGGCAGGGGTCAGGGAGAGGGTAGAAGAAGGAAATAGCACCCCAAGTAAAGGGAGGTAGGCAGGTGGAGACTCTTGTGAAACAGAAGGTTCCTCAGCCCTGGCCGGGGCCTGGACCAGCAGGGGAGACAGTACAAGGGCAGACAGCCAGCACAGTCCATGACGGGGAGCTACACGGGCCTGACTGCCAGGACTGCATTCCACCAGAAACCAAAGACACCAGAGGGAAAGAGGATGTTGATTTTGATGTTGATAGCAAAGATACCCCTGCCCCAACTCCTTCAAAGCATTTACTATGTGCCAGGCACTACTCCAAGTGATTTTTAGATGTATTAATTAATTTAATCACTCATTGTATGAGGTATGTCTGTTATTATTCTCATTGAGAGATAAGGACAGTGAGGCACAGAGAAGTTGAGTAATTTACCCAGGACCACACAGCTAATAATTGGGGGAACAGAGGTCGACACTCAGGCAGACTGACTGTAGAATCAGTGCTTGTAACACTGTACTCCAGGAACGGGCCCTTCCAGAGGTTACTTGGCTACATGACCTCCACCTATGACGTCCCAGAGTATGTATAAGCAAGCATGAGTATGCAAGCCCACAGAGAACAGGAATCTGGGGGTGCAGCACGGGTTCTAGCCCTGAGTACTGACCAAAATGAATAATTGGGAAGATAAGCCTCCTGAGATCTTTGCTCCCAACAGAAAAATATAGTTTGGTCTGGAGATGAGCATGGTGAAGGGCAGGGCGTGCTGACCAGTCCTTATTTACTGCATGCCTACACAGGTTTCTACCCCGCCAGCGCTGGCCAAAACATTAGCCTCCACCCCCAGCTCCTCAGCTCAAGAATCCACCAGGGCTCCCACTGTGCTTCCCAATAGGGACTGACTCCTCAGGGCAGGGCCATCAAAACCACCCCACCTCTATGCACCTCTGCCGTGGCTCATTCCCATCTGCACACCGCTCCTGCTTGCCCTTGTCCCTTCGCTCCTGCACATAAATCTCACCTGTCCTGGAAGCTCCACCTTAAATCCCTGTGTTCCAGGAAGTGTTCCAGACTGCTCCAGCCTTTACTGCTCCTGACCTTGCACCGTCCACCATCTGGCACGCACTGTCTTCTCTCAGATCACTCTGTCTGGTGGGATTTTCACCTGGACCACAGGGTCCTAGAGCAAGTGAGGACTAAGCCTCCTGTGGCTCCATCGTCATCGATTTCTAGGGCTTGGCAAGAAGGAGCAGCTGGGATAGTAGGGAAAGGCCTCACTGGAGTGGGCCAGGCCCCATGGCAGAGGAGTAGGCATCTCAGGAAGGGTTTCTAGCTGCTGATAGGGTGGTGCTCACTGTCCATTGTCGACCTTCCTTCCTCAATAGGCTGGGCCAGAGGCCTGGGCTAGAACGCAAATACCACTACAAATAGCTCCCTCCAACTCCCATGTCCCCTGTGTCCCTGTCCTTCACTGTAACCTGGCTCCTTCCCCTCCCCCAGGAAACCTTCCCTGATAGTACCAGTCTACCCCAACCTTTCCGGTTCTCACCTCTTGTCAAGGTCCTAGGCTATACCTCTGGGTTAGTCATTACCTCCCAGGAGTCCTCACTAAGTCACAGGCAGCTCTAAGCACCTAGGGGCTCCCCAAGGGCAACCCTAGGGCTTCTCCTGCTTCTCCCCCAGAGGAGCTGAACATAGATGCAGGCATTGGGGTAGAAGCTGGCTGCCCTCTACAATCAGGGGTCCCCCAGGGTGCTGGCAGAAAGCCCATGGCCCTGATTAGAAGCAGGGGGTACAGGAGGCACAGCAGGATCAGCCTAATCCCACACTGCCCTGATGGTTAAACCCAGATTAGCCCAAGCAGTGACAGGGATCAACCTGCCCTGGAGACCTGAGCCTAGCCATCCCAAGAAAAGACCAGAAGAGGTGCATCTAACTGTCCCAAATCTAAGGTCCTGGGGAGATGACAGTCCTGGCTGATGTGGCTCCTGCGTGAGGACAGCTCTGAGGCAGCAAGAGTCTGAGCTCAGCTGTGCTGGCTGAGGAGGAGATGGGCACAGGGAGATCCAATCCTGACAGGGCAGGAGGGCAGATAGACAACTGGGGAAAAGCCGAGAACTGGGGCCAGCGCAGGCTCAGGACAGAGGACTCAGTCCTGCCTGGTCCCAGCTCTGTCTATTTTGCTGGGTGACCTTGGGCCAGTCTCTGTCATCTCTGGGCTTCAATTTCCTAATTTGAGAACTGTGTGGTTGACCCAGCTGATCTGACATTTCTTTTCTGACGTCCTAAGCTCTGTACTATCAGGTTGTGTGGGCTAAGGTCATCCAAGAAGGTTCCTCAGAGGAACTGAAAAAGAACTGACTCAATTCTGAAGGACAGAAAGGAGGAGAAGGATGAATGGAATGCAGAGGGGGGCACCCCTGAGGTAGGAGTGAAGCGGGGAGTGGTGAGGAAAGAATCATGGAGTTGAGATAGGAGTGGCCAGGCCACTATCTGGCACTGAGGAAAGTGGCAGCCCTGTGGTTGTGTGTTCTAGGTAGAATGATGACACAGAGGTACAGAGGAGACGTGAGGAGAGCAGGGCACTGTCCTAGAGAGATGGCAGAGCCAGGGCCAAGGTCTGGTTGATGAAAGGGGATGGAGAATCATCCTGTATAAGGTTGGTACATTATGGCCTCGACCTAGCTAGACTGACTAGGGAAGAGCAAGCCTCTGAAGAGACAGGACCAGGTCCTTCACCTCTGGCTTTCTCCTTGGCCTGCCTGATTCACTGAGGACAGGCGAGCTGGTAAGGCCAGGGGTCAAAGGCCCCCTTCTCCCCACATCTGAAAGAAGGAAGGCTTCTGGGGCAGTCAGGCCTGGCCAAAAAAGGAAAGCAAGAGAAACGGAAACCTTTCAGCCCCCGAGCTGTCAGAAAAATTGGGGAAGTATGCTCAGCCTCTTGTGACAAAACCAGTCATCTTGCATGGGGTGAAATGAGGGATGTGGCTGTGAAGATGGAGACCAGATATCAGCTGAGGCCCTCTGCAAGCTGTCAGACCCTGTCCCCCAGGCTGTGCCTTCCTCAAAGAGAGATGCTCAGCTTGCCCTGCTCCCTCCAAGTGCTCAGGACCCACCCCCAACTCGGAATGATCTATTCCCACTAAAGGGATCAAAATTCCTAAGCCAGAGGGTGGAGGACCATGCCCCTGCTTGCCCTTCCCTAGTCAATCCAGGCCATAAGGCACCGACCTTTGTTACATTTCCCTTTACAGGAAGGGTGTCTGCTCAACCCCCCCCACCCACCCACCCAACAGGACCTGGCTGGTGGGTGGGAAGCTCCTCCGGCATGGACAGTCTCTACAAAGGAAGAGTGGAAAGAGACAGAGCTGAGGGACAGGCCTCCTCACCTGGAGAATCCCCTGCGGACAGAAGTCAATGGGGAAAGCCCTGGTGTCCCTGCACCCAGTCCCAGCTTCCCACCAGGAAGCCACCGTGGGCCACAGCATTGCCAGCACCGGAGAGGCAGGTACTTCTTAAAATGATACAGCCTTCTTCCCCAGTGCTGGGCTGACCATGGAATGACAAGCGGCCCAGCTCAGAGGACGCCTCCTGTAAGTAACCTTCCTGGTCCCCAGGTCCCACGGCAGGCTGACTCCATACCTCCATTTGGGAGGCTCTCATATGACTATCTCTGTGGTCCTAGATGCAAATTTGGGGGTCTGAAATCTTCCTGTCCCTTTTCTCCCCCAGCCAACTCCTACTAGTGCCATCTCAGCTTGCCACTTTGTCCAGGATGTCCTCTTATTAGGCAAATTGGGTTAAGCATCTCCTCAGCCCCCATAGCTGCCCACCATTACAGGCCCTGCTACATTCCATCTCACTACAGATCTATCTGCCTAGTCTCCCCCTTTACAAGGGCACCAATTCATCAAGTTTCTCATTGCTAGGTCCCCAAGTCCAGCCCTCAGACCAGCAGAAAGTTCACCCCAGAAAATATATGCTGAATGAATATATCTACCCTTGAGGCCACAAGGCAAGAAATTACTTCCTCCAACTGATCCTCAGCTTTCAGCCCATGAGAGAAAAAGAGAATAAAACAAAAAACTCAAGAATTTCCCTTGAGGTTTCTATCACTCAAAATTTTAAAAAAATGTGACTAGGCCACCAGATTCTGCCCAGCCCTTCCCACCTCAGAGAATCAGGAATCCTGAGGCATATGCCTCAGAAACTAACAAGCTCCTACCCCCAACCTCTTCAGCCATTTGGGGAAACTGAGACTCAGAAACAGGCAATGATCTGCCCAGAGTCACAAAGCAATTATGTCCAGAGCTGGGCTGGGACCAGACCTGCCCTCCTACCTCTCCCCTCTGCCCATGCCAGGGTCATCTTGGGCCTGTGCCAGTGTCTATCCCCCCACCCCCTGCTCTCATATTCTTCACTATCCAGGACACAGAGATCATAGAGTTTAGTAAACAGTGACATCACCAAGCATTTTTCCCAGCTTAGGAAACTCCCCCTTTGCCTTGGGAATTGCCCCCGCCTCCTGCAGTTCTGCAGGGGGAGTTCACCTTGAAGGTGATGAATACACCCAAGTCCCTGAAGAGGTAAGGATTTCCACTGGAAATGCTGATGCTTGGGGAGCCCCAGGTGTGACCTCATCCCCTAGAGAAGGTGACAACAACCCCTTGCCCTGGGGAGTTGATTCATAATGACTCCCCAGCAGCCACCGAGTCAACAATAACATCCTGTTGTTTAATTGGACCAGAGAGAGGGCAGAACCAGCTGGGTAGGTAGGTAGAGACTAGAGATGGGCTGTTTCCCCCACTGTGGACTGGCTCACCTCTGACCCTGGAAGTCAACACCTTCCTGAGTTTTTCCTCCTCCTCCAACCCTTGGTGGACTAGGGACAGGTGCACAGCTTACACACGTTTGTCAACCTCTGCCAATCCCTTGCCCTCACCTGCAATCTACTCTTCCTGCCCCTGCTTGAGAAAGGTCAGGACCACACACACCCTAGACTGAACTGTGTCAGTGACACCCTGGAAGGACAATCCCCCAAACCCATCTTGCCCTAGTAAGCTCTGAGGGTCAAAGATAGATGCAGAACTCAGAACACATTGGCACATCTCTTCTGGCCCAAGTCTTCACTGCGCCAGGTCTTCACTGGGCTGAAGAAGCAGCAAACTTTCCAACGAGTGCAGGCTGGGACCCTTCCAGAGCCCCCTGCTCCAACATTTCCCTAGGAGTTCAAACAGTAGAAAATAAAGACCTTTCCATACCTGTCCCTATACCTGTCATGGTTCAAAACTAAAATCCCAATCTATGCCTTCTAGAGATATGGCTCTGGAACCACTGCTGTCCCTGATCTAGTCATTCCTAGTGCCATACCACACCCACTGGTGGACAGGGCTCTAGCTTTACAGCAAGCCTTCAAGGGCCCCCTCTCACTCCAGTGAGATTTGCCTGACCCAAACTCAATTCTGTCCGACTGCCATGTGTCACCCCACAGGAGACAGGAGGCAGCTGTCAGCCGCGCATACTATCACCAGCTGGTGGCCCTGGTGAGCAGGTGAATGGCAGGGCCTGTCTGGCCAGTGGGGTACCTGGCACTGGTGAAGGAGACCACAGGCTGTCCTTGGATTAGATTGGTAAGTGGCAGGTGAGCCCCAACCAGTGGGGGTCAATGGTGCATTACCAAGCAGAGGACATGGCCCGTGTGGTCACAGCAGTGAGCTGTGGGCAGGGGAAGGGGGGCATAGAGCTAGGCTGGGAGCTTGGAAAAGTGGGTAAGAAGTCTGAAAGCAGCTTTAAATAGCCTCAGGGTGGAACCTAAGTGCCCAGGATGAGGAGATATGCATTAAGTGCTAAGAAGTGGGTGTACTTTAAGTGTGTGGAGGGGGACATCAAGGGAAGATTTGGGGGGGGGGGGCAGAGAGCAGAGCCAAATGTAAGGGGTTTGATGCAGGGGGAGATTCCAGAACATTTAGTCAAGGCCATTTGTCCCCTCCAGTCACAGCTCATGTGCTGTGGTAAACCAAGACAGTCAAGGGGACTGAGGCAAGGCAAACTTCCTGGGGAACACAGGAAGCCCCTGCTGGAGCAAAGGGTGTGCAAATGTTCACCACAGAGGGTTGCCAGAGTTCCAGCCAAACTGCTCCACTCACACCAGGCACACCTCTGGCTGGATAGCAGCGCTGGAGACCACAGGCATCTCATTTATGGTTGAAGAACCACTTAAATCCTTCTCCCCTCCCTAATGCAAAATCGGGACTGGTCCTGCACCTGATCACAGCCCCCACCTGCACCGTGAGCTCAAGCCGCCCAGTGACCTTGGGCGAGTCACATTCCTTCAGCTGCTGCGGCAGTTCAGGACACTCATTTTGTGTGTGGTCCACCCCCCCCCCACTTCTGCTAAGAATACCTGCCCCAGATAATGCTCAGACTCCAGCAATCCCTGCAAACCGCCAAAGACATCAAAGGGTTCCCGGTGGGGACAGACCCAAACAGCCCCCGCTGTGAGTCCCACCATCACAACCACAAGGGAGATGCAGCCAAATTTGGGGACAGAGCTAGTCCGCTTGGGGGCGGGGAGGCATTTATATGCAATGCAGGGGAGGGGAGCTTAGTCCCTAGCGGCAGAAAGCCTCAAACCCCCACCTAGCCAGCTTTCTGTCCCATTGTACAGGGGTCTAAACTGAGGTGCCCTGGAGGAGACTCTC